TTTGACAAGGGTTTAACTACCGCCTTGACGTGTGCCGTGTCACAGGCGGTGGACATATTGAACACGTATTAAATCGGTCCCATAATAAACTTATGATGTTCAACACCTAAACAGTTCAATTTCATTGAACTAGACTGAGTAGGTTTTCAAGATAATTGCTTTTAAAATTATGTCAATTATTTTGGAACACCTTGTATATGTACAAATATTTTTTTAACAAAAATATATAAAAATTTACAATGACTCGAAAGGGAAAGATTCCCGCTCGATTCTTAAGGCTGCTAGTGTCTTTGATTGATTGATTTACTTTTTTACGGTTTATCAACACTTTGCTCGTTATTTAAAATTAGAAAATTTTTTTTAGATTTTAAGAATTTTTTTGAAAATAATGGTTTAGTGATTAAAGTCTTACTAATTAACCCATAGTTGGGGAAGAAGAGGTCGATTCATACCTAACCCCCCACCTCCGCGGGTATTTGACCGTAAGTGAATATAACGAACCCAATGGGAATTGGAACTTAGCTCTCCAATTAATAATTCCAAACCGTTTAGACTTTACACCAACCACACACTTAAGCATACAGCACCTGATATTCGTAAAAGGTCACCAGTCTACGTATTGACCAGGCTCAACATTGCTTAACTTCGGTGATCATACTGGAAAAAGTGTGGCCATGAGCCGGAATTCTTTTGGTGTGGGGTTAGGGAGTGAAAAAAAGTTAGGAAAATTTAAATATGAATTTCAGTATAATATATATATATATAAAGAAATATAGTCTTAAGGTGTGCTATATTTATGGGATAAAGTGCTCAATATCAGAGATAGAGCGTGTGTAAATATAAAAGTGAACATAGAAGTCAACACTTAGAGGCGACAGCCTGTTTCATGCTATATGCAATCGTCAGGCCACATATGCTGTTATTTTTCTCGGCTATTTATATATATACGGGTTAGTGGTGCATTGTGGGCATTCTATTATGGCGGTTATTTTTTTACCGGAAGTCGCTTTGTTTATTTATTTGGGTCAAATTGGGTCAAAACGAGCAATATAATTTGACCCAAATAAATAAAGGATCATAACATTCATCGAGTGATTTGTAGGTTAATGAAACTTTAAAATTTATGTTTGCGAAGAGATTTTGCCATTTTATATCATTAACTTTGTTAATCTACTTTTTGTATGAATGATTCATTGAAATATAAATATATATATATATATATATATATATATATGCAATTTTTTATATATATTATTTATATATTATATATGCGCGGTACTTATTGGAAAGCGCTCAATATCAGTGATAGAGCTAACATATTTAGTTGGGTTGATGTGAGTTTGTAACCCTGGGTTTCACGCTATTTGCAATCTTACTATATATATATGTAGTAACATCGTAAGAGAGACTATGGAGTAGCGCGGTGCCTGGGCGCTACATTTTAATGAAAACTCTAACATTTTTAGGCATTTAAAACAACATGCCTGCCCGCACACACAATTCCGTAAAATACTTGTCGAAAACACAACTATACTTCGACATGAAAACAATAGACAAAAACTAAAAATACTTGAAGCATTATACATCAAACAGTTAAAACCCAACCTAAACAAAATCAACTATGGCATGTCTACAAATATTCTTAAATGTCTATAATTTCTATAATTGGTAACAGAAGCCATTGGTTTATACCAACGGCTTTCCTTATTTCATTCTCCAATTCACTCTTGTGTAGTCATGTGTGACGTCATGAGATGCAGTGCGATTTTCGCTTCTAGCGTCTTATATGCGCGTGTTCATCGTTGCTTAGTGATCCACTATGTAAACTAAACAATGACAGACTATCATCACTGTCGTGTCCGTATATTGTTTGATATGTTTGTAATTACATCTTTGATAATGGCTTGAGTAAGCCGAAAGCTTAGATTATATTAAAAAATAATGGATAAATATTGTGAATTTCTTTTTTCGGTTAATGATAATGTTATCAAACTTATCAGAAGATACGAAAAAATTTTACATAAAATAAATAGACAACACTTGTCTATATTATTTAATGAAACGTGTATAAATGAAAATATGCTGCCTAAATACACACAATTTATATATATATATATATATATATATATATATATATATATATATATATATATAAAACTCGAATTAATAAGAATGGCCGCTGTATTCTGTCGATAGATCGAATCACGAATCACATTTACCAATGGAATGGGAAGGATAGAATAAATGACGGAATGGGGAAAATCAAAAGCTGACAAAATACGGGACAAAAACAAACTGGGGATGTTGGCAATCAAAATGTATATTTATTGTAAATTAATACAAGTATGGCACAAGGCCATAAAGGGAGAAAGGCTTGAGGCTGGTCTTCACTAACTATCTTATACCTCGCTAATCGGATTCACGACCCATTCACTCGTTACAATTTCCTCATTCACCATAAAACTCATCCGTCGCCTATCAATCCTCTATACACCATAATGCCGCCGTATTCTGGAGTGAAACGAATGGTGTTTCTCACGCTGCTGACCACGGCTCGAATGGTGATTTGGGTGACGCGAATGGAGGAAGTCTTGCGAGGCAACCATGTTTTTCATCAGGATCTGATCCAATTCTTTGAGCATCAGCTCAAAATGAAGTTTAGATCTGATAGAAAACGTTTGATTTCGACAGATTTTAGCGAAAGGTGGGTGACTGAGGCGAGCTTGGTTCACTTGAATCAGGCTAGCCTTGATTTTCTCTTTTAGATCGTATCGGGGTGATTTCCTGTAGAGCCCTCCCATGTTTAGGCTAAACAAGCTAAGTGTATCTCGTTAATGTGAGTAAGCGTTATTCCTGGCCTGCTCCCGGTTTTGTTAATGATTCAAGTTGAGATTCCCAACCTCCCCAGTTTATTTTTGGCCCCCGTTTTTCATCTCGACTGGATGAGTCTTATTTATTTCCCATGCCCTTATATATATATTTTTTCTCCTTTCCCCTCTCCCTTAGCGAGAGAGCCTCTTGATTTTGTTCAAGGGCAGAATACAGCAGCTTCTCTTTTTCGAAGGGTTGGATGGGTCCTACTAACATCAGTTATGTTTATTTTTGCTTTTCTTTGATATTTAGTTTGTCTTGGGGTTACACCCCTCCCCTTTTCATGATCATTGATCCGATTTTTGTATATATAATGGATATTTATTGTATATAAGAATACAATTATGGCACAAGGCCGAAAAAAGATGAGGGTTTAGGCTGGTCTTCACTAACTATCCTATACCTAGCTAATTCGATTCACGACCCATTCACTCATTATAATTTGCCCATTCACCACAAAAACTCCAGAATACCACATCCTCTCAAGGGCGGGGGGGTTTACAAAACGCGCCCCATACCATGAATAATTTAATGATCACAAATTAGATATAAAAATCTAAAGATGAAAAATGAGTGGGAAGGGAGATTAATCGAATAACAAACTAAATATGAACACAAAGTAAACTAAACATAACTGATGTCAGTAGGGCCCGTCCAACCCTCAGAAAAGAGAGGCCACTGTATTCTGCCCATTGGACAAAATCAAGAAGCTCTATCGCTAATGGAGCGGGAAAATGAGAAAATATACACGGACAAGGGAAAGAAAAAGATGCAGCCGGGAACAGGCCAGGAACAACACTTACTCACATTAACTAGGTACACAAAAGCTTGTCTAACCTAACCAAGGGGAGGGCTCCACAGGAAACCACACCGATGTGTCGTAGGTTGACCTAAAAGAGAAAATGAAGGCTAGCCCTGTTCAAACGAACCAAGCTCGCTTCTTTCACCCACCTTTCACTGAAGACTGTCTATATATAATGTAATTAATATTCATCATCATCAAATTTTATCTTCTTGGGATGCGTTTTTATAGCCCCCCCCCCACCCAGAGAGGATGTGGCATTATGGTGTATTTATTTATTTTGTAAAAGTACAAAATTGTGGCACAAGGCCGAAAAAGGGGTGGGGGCAACAACTGGTCTTCACTATCTTATACCTAGCTAATCCGATTCACGACCCATTCAGACATTACAATTTACTCATTCACCATAAGAACTCGTCCGTCGCCAATCAATCCTCCATGCACCACAATACCACATCCACTCCAGGGAGACCTACAAAACGCACCCCATGTCATAAAAATTTAATGATACTAAAAGATATATACAAAATTCTATGATGAAAACATGAGAGGGGAGGGAGATGAACCCAATAACGAACTAAAATATTATTATAATATTATATTATTATTATTATAATATAATATTATTGGGTTCATCTCCCTCCCCTCTCATCCCTCATCACGAGATTTTTATATATATACAATTATCATTAAATTTTTAATGGCATGGGGCACGTTTTGTAGGTCCCCCCCCCTTGTGAGGATGTGGTATTATGGTGTAAGGAGGATTGTTTGGTGATAGATGGGTTCTTGTGGTGAGTGGGCAAATTGTAATGAGTGAATGGGTCGTGAATCGGATTAGCTAGGTATAGGATAGTCAGTGAAGACCAGCCTCAACCCCTCCCCTTTTCAGGCCTTGTGCCACAATTGTATTTTTCGATACAATAAATACATCAAAATATTAACACAAATCAAATTAAACGTAAGTGATGTTAGTAGGGCCCGTCCAACCCTCAAAACAGAGAGGCCGCTGTATTCTGCCCATTGGACAAAATCAAGCAGCTCTCTCGCTAAGTGAGTGGGAAAAGGTTAAAATATCATACGGGCATTATGGTGTATGGGGACCATAACAAAATCTTGTGAGACTTACATGCCGATACTTTGATATACAGATTATGACTTCATAATTATGTGTGACGCCTATTGATGACGTCATAATGAGAAAAAAGGTTTTTTTTTCAAGGCGTGTGTATTTTTAAAAAATCGTTTCATTTCTTTCACACGTCTTTGCTGCTATTGGCTACATTTTTTTTCTCTCCTTCTCAAAGTTCAAGGCAAAATCAAAAAAATGCGAAACATTGAGATTGAGACACTTCGCTCCAGGTTAAGTCAAAGGAAACCTCGGAGGCGACGTAGCCGAAGCCCATCCGGGGGTTCGTATGTTGTGAAGACGTCGTCAAGGCGAAGCAGCCACCGGGTTAAAAAACACAAGACGAAGAGGAAGCCCAAAGGCGGAAAGACCGGGAAAGGGCGCAAGCAAAAGTCGATCTACGGTGGCATTCGTATCAACAATGTTTCCGGACGTCGCCAAAGACGCCGTCGTAAAACGTCGGATACTGACGAATCGGATGACGACCATGACGATATCCAGAACGAAAGTTCACAGGCCGAGCTGACGAAGAAAAAGAAAAACAAGCGACAGGGGAAAAATAAGAGATCGTCCTACAACCAGGAAGACTCTGAGGAATATTTGCCAGAACATTCTCCTGAAGAAAACGAAGAGTATGAACAAGATTATGAGATGTAAGCGGCCGACTCTTGGAAAGACTTAAATAAAACTCTACATTGTTTAAAACGCAAACCGACAAAGAGTGTTTGTCTTCTTTTTTCTCGGTCTATCTACCTTTTTAATCGTTTCACCCCCAAGCATTTTGTCGCTCCCTTATCTATATTTATTGTATAAAAACACAATTTTGGCACAAGGCCTAAAAAGTGGGGGTGAGTCTGGTCTTCACTATCTATCTTATACCTAGCTAATCCGATTCACGACCCATTCATTCATTACAATTTGCACATTCACTACAAAAACTCGTCCGTCACCAATCAATCCTATAGACACTATAATACCACATCCTCTCGGGGTGGAGTGTCTACAAAAACGCACCCCATGATAATATTATGGGGAACGTGATGCGGCTTACTCTCTTAAATGTTCCACGGAAATATGATTGGATTCGAAATCCCCTCATAAATGTTCCTTCTAATATTGGACTTCAGTGTTTTTTTCTTTTGTTTTTTTTAGTTCCCCCCACCCGGAGAGGATGTGGTATTATGGTATGGAGGATTGATTGACAACGGATGAGTTTTTATGGTGAATGTGGAAATTGTAACGAGTGAATGGGTCGTGAATCTGATTAGCTAGGTATAAGATAGTGAGGACCGACCTCAACCCACGTCCCCTTCGGCCTTGTGTCAAAATTGTAATTATGTTACTATAAATAAACATTTTTTCCCAAGCAAAACAAATCAAGCCTCTTAAGATTTATTTAGTCTGAAAGAATATGAGAAAAAGAAAACGTTAAGATATGAACAGACTGAATAGATAGATAGATAGATAGATATGAACAGACTCAGATAGATAGATATTAGCAGACTGAGAAAGATAGATATATATATATATATATGAAAATACTGAGATAGATAGATAGATATGAAATGACCGAGATAGATATGAAAAGATTGAGATAGATAGATAGATAGATAGATAAGATAATAGATAGATAGAAGATAGATAGATAGATAGATAGATATGAAAAGACTAAGATAGATAGATAGATAGATAGATATGAAAAAACTAAGATAGATAGATAGATAGATATGAAAAGACTAAGATAGATAGATAGATAGATATGTATGAAAAGACTGCGATGGATAGATCCATAGATAGATAATTAGATTTATTTCATTTTATTTTTTCTCTCCTCTATCGATAGTTTAGTTTGAAATGAAGCATATTTCATGTAGCAGAAGCCCGAAGAAGAGGACGGGAAAAAGGCTGGTTGTCTACCCCTTCAGTCTTACAATTGACTCAATCACCAAAAGAATTCATCCATCTTCACTCAATCCAACATTTATCAAATTACGACATATTCGCAGGTAATCTACTGAAACTCCATGATATAAAAATGGAGATATTTTTCTTTTTAGAAAAAATATATGAAACTATTTCAGAAAATGATGACAGTGGGAGTGAACCGAAAATTAAATGAAATAAAAGCAAAAAATTTAAAGTAAAGCAAAATTATATTAGTAGGACCCGTCCATCCCAGAGACAAAAATAAAAGCCGCTCCTGCATTCTAGCGTTAATGAGTATCGTGGAGCTTGCTCATTAAAAGCGAGGGAGCGACAAGTTGTGGATAGGGAAAAATCAATGGCTGGTTTAGTAGACCAGGTCGATTTTGGGACCGTTGTATTTATACTCAATTTGAAAGTTAGGGTTTGATAGGATAAATAGTGACAGAAAATATTTTTTGCAAATCATGAGCGTTTTTTGGGGGGTACAGAGTTTGAAGGTTAAGTTTAAGTTCAAAATCGTAGCATTGCAATTTCATTCCGGTGATCAGTGAAAGTCTTATAGCACAGCCTCATAAATTTTATAATTTACTGAAGCTTTGCAAATTCTATATAAGCAAGATGCATAGCACAAGAATCTTATTACTAAATCATTGTGCCATCAAATAAGACCTTCATTTACTTCAAAGGCAAATTCTACTGAACAATTTTTAGTTATATTATGATGTAATATCTTATACAGTGCAGTAGTTTTCGTGTAATTTTCAATAAACAATGCAAATTTAAGACATTTTGTTTTATAAGTTGAGTCCAGCAGTATTAGGGTGTTATATACACTTTTACTAATTTTTTTGTTTTTATTATGATTGAACAAATAATCTAATAAATCTTATTCTTTGAGTAGCCTTTTTTGGAATCTTTTACAAGGAAGAAAATTTTTGTTTTTAGGTTAATGTTTTGGCTTTATAACAACTTGTAGTGTACAGTAGGGCAGGTCGATTTTGGAACTGTGGTATTGCACTCAATTTGAAAGTTGGGGTTTCACATGATAAATAACGACACAAAATATTTTTCTTTCAAATCCTTACCATTTTTTTTGAGGAAATAAGTTTAAAGATTAAGTTTAGGTTCAAAATCATAACATTGGAATTTCATTCCGGTGATCAGTGAAAGCCTTATAGGACAGTCTTATAAAATTTATAATTTACTAAAGCTTTACAAATTGTACATGGACAAAATGCATGGCACAAGCACATTATTGCTAAATCATTGTGCCATCAAATAAGGCCTTCATTTACTTCAAACGGAAATTCTACTGAACAATTTAGTTATATTATGATGTAATATCTTGTACAGTGCAGTAGTTTTCGTGTGATTTTCAATAAACAATGCAAATTTAAAACATTTCGTCATATAATTTGTGCCCATCAGTAATAGGGTGTTATATACACTTTTATGTATTTTTTGTTATTATTACTTATGATCTAACAAATCTTATTCATTGAGATTTTTACAGTTTTTACTTAAGGACACACGGCATAGTGTATGAATTTCTGGGACACATTTCCTTGTGGACACATGGCGCAGTGTATAAAGGCGTTAGTTAGATCCAGTGACAGGAACCAAAGAGTGTGAGTTCAATACCTGGTTAAGGCAGTGGAGAACTTGGAGAGGGGAATTAACAGGAGATAACTGATAACTGATATCCATTAAACCTGGCACGTGGAACTAGAACAGTCAACCACAGTGAGCGAAATAAAGGGTTCAGTTTGACATTTCAACCACCCGAAGAAGGTCGGAGCGTACAATGGCCGAAACCTTGTAATAAATATGGCAACAAAGATGAGGACAATAGTCCGAATAATGTAAATAGTGTACATAATACCTCATCTCAGAAATATAGACAGATACTGAAAGGCCGGAACGTTGTAATAAATATGGCGACAAAGATGAAGACAATAGTCCGAATAATGTAAATAGTGTACATAATACCTCATCTTAGAAATATAGACAGATACTGAAAGGCCGAAACGTTGTAATAAATATGGCGACAAAGATGAGGACAATAGTCCGAATAATGTAAATAGTGTACATAATACCTCATCTCAGGAATATAGACAGACACTGAATGGCCGAAAAGTTGTAATATATATGGCGACAAAGATGCGGACAATAGTCCGAATAATGTAAATAGTGTAGTATTGACTCACTTGCGTATTTGCCGTACAAGAATTACACACTCATACCTACAGAAAATGAAAGAACAGCTAACGTGTCCGACATGCAAATCTGCTTATATTATAAAACATGCTTTGCCAGAATGTATAGCGCTTGCTTCATCTAGGAAAACTTTCTTCAATATAAACGACATAATGATGGAGCAAAGATGGATGATATTATATCAATTCTGAAAAGAGTGGGTTTATGCCAAAAATATAAGCCTTAAAAATGGTATATAAACCAGCCAAAGTAGTTGAACCAAAGTACTTGATACCATGTGATTGGCTAAAAAAAAAAACCGAAAACAAAAGTTGGAACAAAAAATAAAAAATAAGTAAATAAATCATTGATAGATTGGGTATAATAATAATAATAAAAAAGAATGTCTTGGGTTTACATGACCCATGAGTTGTTGATAAGCCGTAAAACAAAACAAACAAATCATAGAGGAAAGTTCATCAGAACAATTACCATAAAAGTATTCATAGGAAGCTACGTTCATTTGGGAAAGTAATCGAAGCCAAGGTGCCAGGTCAGAACCAGTAACATTTCAGATTCTTCTCTGGATTTTATCAAGAATATCTAACTACATAGCTGGGACACTAGTCCAGATGTGCCAGCAAATATTCAAAGCAAGAAGGAATGGTAAACTTGTAATTATGTCAAATAGATTCTGTCAATAAAAATCTACGTTGGAACCAACTCTCAAAATGATGTTTCGCCAATCACTTGAATCTTTTGAAAAGTTTTCAAGTTTAGGGTCAACCTTTATCTAGCCTACATATCCTCATAAGATGCACCCTGCGCTCCCTCCGTCTACGTTCTTGCAGTAACCTCATTCAATATTTCTCTATATTGAGTGGCTCTTGGGCCTTGTATTGCATGATAATACCATACATGGTATAACTTACTAATCCCAACCAAAAGTGTTTTCTAAGAATCTGTCTCATTGCATTGAAAGACTAACATCAGGGTTTATCGCTGATAATTAAGTTTACCTAAATAGAATTGCCAAAGGAACTGAAAAAGATTTATTCTCTAAGCAGTATATGCAAGGAAGCCTGTATAAAACGAACTTGGGTGATACTAGTTCCAATGGGAGGACCGTCAAAGTGGAAATATAAATTCAGTGTCTCTTCATTTAATTTTATTCAATGAATTTTTTTTACTGGTATCTAAAAGGTTAAAATAGCAGAAATGTCTGCTGTTACGTTTGAGACGCGGTTAGAAATTAAGCAGATCATTGTGTGTGAGGTACAGATAATTATGTTGTGGCTATTTTTCGAACAGACTTAAGTCTATTTGGACGTTTCATTTTAGATTCATCATATTTGTTAGTGGAATGAGAAAGAAAGAAAGAAAGAAAGGAATAGATGAAAATAGAAAGAAAGAAAGAACGAGATAGATTAAAAGCAAATAGAAAGGAAGAAAAACGAAAGAAAGAAAGAAAGTATATGAAAGAAAACGGAACAAATGAAAAAAGAAAGAAAGATCGGTGTAGATTAAACAGAAAT